TTAAGAGGGTAAAATCCAGTTATGGTGTTAAAAGATGTGGCCTTTGGGAGGAGATTAGTGAATAGGTGATTTGGATACAGCCCCTTTGATTGAGTCTTGGTGGGTTTTGTTTTGTTTTGTTTTGTTTTTTAGAGGTTTTTACTACAGGGCACATGCGCTCGCCAGCCAGCCAGAGAGAGACAGAGAGATAGAAAGCGAGAAATCACCCCCCAGAGGGGATGGCCACACCGCAATCCCTTCTCCTCTCAGGATCTTGGGCACACCCGCACACGCGCCCGGTGTGGGTTTTAAGCTACCAGGTCCGGGACGTGAACTGCGGTCGACTACGTGGAAGTCCAACGACATAGCCATTACACTAACTGCTGGTCCCAAGTCTTGGTGGGTTTATAAAGAGGAAAGAGAAATGCACATACAGAAAACAGACTGTACTCACCTGTCCTCTGCTATGTTGTCATCCAGCCAGAAGACCCTCTCATAACGCACAGCCTCTGGACCTGGGACCTCCACTAAGGTGAAAAAACCTTTTATTCCCTCTTTTTAAAAAATAATTACTTTATTTTGTTTATCTTCTTCTTATTATTTTAATGTGACCAGAGAGGGACAGAGAAGAAAAGTGAGAAAGCAAGCCATCAGGTCAGGGACTCGAATCGCGGTTGGCCATGTGGGAGTCCAGCACCTTAACTACCACTTGCAAAAACAAAAAGAAAGAGTTAGTGCATCAAAGGTACACCCATTATGTAGCTTCAATTTTTACAGGCACTATGCGGCAAGGTTTACACATCAACAGTAGGTATTTAAATCATGTTTTAATATTTGCCAATACTGGGGCTGGGAGGTAGCGTGGTGGTTAAGGTGCTGGACTTTTACGTGGCTAACGACAGTTCTAGTCCTGGATCTGGCAGTTTGCTTTCTCACCACCCTCCCACCCACTCTGTCCCTCTCTGGTCAAATAAAAATACATAAATAAGTAAAGTTAAATAAAATAATTCTTCTCTTCTTTTTTTTTTTTTTAATGTCAATACTGATCCAGCCGGTGGCGTAGTGATGAAAATGGTTGGATCCCAGGGGGCCGGAAGGTGGAATGGTGGTTAAGGGTGCTGGATTCCCACATGATGGACTGTAGTTCGAATCCAGATTTAGCAGCTTGCTTCCTCACTTTCCTTCTCTCTCTCTGTCTCTCTCACTCTGTCCCTCTCTGATCAAATAAAATAAATAAATGAATGAATAAAGTTAAATAAAATAATTATTTTTTTAGAGGTTTTTGCTATAGGGCATATGCACTCACAAGACAGAGACAGAGACAGAAAGTGAGAAATCACCTCCCAAGGGGGATGGCCATGTCACAATCCCTTCTCCTCCATTCTCCTCTTGGGATCCTGGGCACACATGCACATGTGCCCAGCGTGAGTTTAAGCCACTGGGTCTGGGACTTGAACCTCGGTTGACTACATGGGAGTCCAGCGACATAGCCATTATGCCAACTGCTGGTCCCAATAAAATAATTATTTTTAAAAAATGGTTGGATCCCACATGGCTGACTGTGCAATTTGAATCTTGCGTCCAGTGGCTTGAAAAACACATTAGGTATGTGTGTTTCATGATGAAAATGCCAAAAGGAGAAATGGAGGAGAAGAGATGATGGCACGTTCCTCCCCTTAGGAGGTGTTTTCTCATTTTCTGTCTGACACTCTTTATCTCTCTCCAGTGAGCACACGTTCCCCTTAGCAAATTAAAAAGAAAAACTTGTGAGTGCTAATATTTGTACCCCCCGAAATTCATGTGTTGTAATGGGATTAAGAGGGTAAAATCCAGTTATGGTGTTAAAAGATGTGGCCTTTGGGAGGAGATTAGTGAATAGGTGATTTGGATACAGCCCCTTTGATTGAGTCTTGGTGGGTTTTGTTTTGTTTTGTTTTGTTTTTTAGAGGTTTTTACTACAGGGCACATGCGCTCGCCAGCCAGCCAGAGAGAGACAGAGAGATAGAAAGCGAGAAATCACCCCCCAGAGGGGATGGCCACACCGCAATCCCTTCTCCTCTCAGGATCTTGGGCACACCCGCACACGCGCCCGGTGTGGGTTTTAAGCTACCAGGTCCGGGACGTGAACTGCGGTCGACTACGTGGAAGTCCAACGACATAGCCATTACACTAACTGCTGGTCCCAAGTCTTGGTGGGTTTATAAAGAGGAAAGAGAAATGCACATACAGAAAACAGACTGTACTCACCTGTCCTCTGCTATGTTGTCATCCAGCCAGAAGACCCTCTCATAACGCACAGCCTCTGGACCTGGGACCTCCACTAAGGTGAAAAAACCTTTTATTCCCTCTTTTTAAAAAATAATTACTTTATTTTGTTTATCTTCTTCTTATTATTTTAATGTGACCAGAGAGGGACAGAGAAGAAAAGTGAGAAAGCAAGCCATCAGGTCAGGGACTCGAATCGCGGTTGGCCATGTGGGAGTCCAGCACCTTAACTACCACTTGCCAGTCTCCCCCTGCCCCAAAACCCTCCATTCTCTTAATCACCCAGTCCAAGTATTTTCTGCTATTAGCAACAAAACAGTCTTGCTCAGTCAGGTTAATTCACAAAAATCAACAGTTCATTTTGATTTTCATTTCTTTAGTTTTGAGTGAAGCTGAATATTTTACCATATTTTCTCCAAAGAAGTGCCAGTTGAGTTGTACTTTTTCCTTCTCAAAGGAGAGGAAAATTCCTTTCCTTCATTTTCAAAAAAATTATTTACTGAATTTTATTTATTTATTCATTTAGTTTTTAATTTGACCAGAGAGAGGAGGGGGCTAGTGAGAAAGCAAGCCACCAGGTCTGGGACTCGAACTGTGGTTGGCCATGTGGGAGTGTGCAGTGCCTTAACCACTATGCCACCCATTTATTTTCCTATAAGAGTTAGGGACAAGGAAGTCTTGAGAGAGTGGATTGGGAGCTCAGGCTGGTCATCACGTATAGGATGATTGAGTTCATTGTGGCTTTTAAACAAAAGTTCCAGTGCACGTAAAATCCTCAAGCGTGATATTTACTTTGGAAGTGGGGGCTATATGTGGTAACTTAGAAAAATTCTGTTTCAGACTTAGTGGAATGATGTAATTTTCTCTGGAAAGTGGTGGGGGCAGCCATCTGTGTCTTTAGTAGTTAGCCAAGGCTTGCCACATTACAGGCACCCATTAACGCCTATAGACTGAGTGATTAAACCCTGCAGGATCACCCACTGTAACCCCAAATGAACTACCAGTTGTTTTTGTTTTGTTTTGTTTTGTTTTGTTTTTTAAAAAAGTGTGTTTCCCAGTTCTCTTGCACCCATTTATTTAGAATCTCTTATAGCTATTTTTAGTTTGAATCTGAATCAGCCCTAACAAGGTCCAGGAAAAGAAATAATGCGAATCCTGACTTAGAACTTCCGGATAGGCTAAGGGCAAGTGGCAATATAAATGTTAAACCAGGCCAAGTCTGATGGGAGTGGTTTTATGGTAGGTCTGTCCTTGGGTGCAGATAGGCTGGCCAACCTCTCCAGGTAAGCCAGTTTGTCTTCCTTTTGGACAACCACATTCTCTGAGCTCCGAGTGGTTTTTTGATCATCTCTCATTTTTCTCTGTCTCTAGGAAGGACTCCGTTTGACCTTCCACAGTTAGAAGAGCTCTATTAAAATAATTAGTTAGGAAGAAAGTGATGGGCCAACAGAGGGCATGGTAGTTAAGGGCACTGGACTCCCACATAGCTGACCACGGTTCAAGTCCTGGCAGCTTTTGCTTTCTCACTTCCCCCATTACTCTGTCCCTCTCTGTTCAAATTAAAATAAAGTTAAATAAAATTTTAAAAGGATATATTTTAAAAAAGGAATAAAGTGATACCTGGAATCCCATGATGTTAGAACCAGAAAGGAACTGGGGGAGTATCTGGTGTCCAGTTCTCCACCTTTCTCAGCCTACCAGCTGCTCATTATACCAGTAGCAGGGCAAAGTCATCGTCAGTTCAAGGCCCAGCAGACGTGGGGAGCCAATGAAGATTTTAGAGCAGGAATTTGAATTTGGGGGGCCACCCTGGCTGCAGAGGAGTGGTTAGGGCCAGGCCAAAGGTAGAGGTGGAGAGACACACTGAGGGACTTGGAATAGAGGGTTGTTGGAAGAGCTGGAGGCAAATAGACGATTGAAGAGATATTTAGTAGGTAGAATTGATCATTGAAAAGGGGGTGGTGGTGAAGGAGAGAGACGTCAAGATGATAGCTTGGGTCTCTGGGCAGATGGTGGGGCTCTTGCTGGGTTAGGGGAGGAGAAGAGAAGGTTTGGCAGAAGGATGAATTCGAGGCACGTTTCCTTGGAGGAGCCACGGGGTCTCCAAGGGCAAGTGTCCAGGTAGCTGAATGTAAGGGTGTGGGCTTAGGAGAGGAGTCTGGAGTGAGAGACACAAAAATGGAGAGCAAACCAGGGATCTTCTTAACAATAGTAAGGAATCGGAGAGGTCGCTCGGTTTGGAGTTTGCAGAACGAGACGGTCACGTGAATGGGGGCGCAGCCAAATACTGCCAGAATTGAGGCTAGAGGAAGGCATGGAGTGGGGGCAGAGGAGCATTGCTGCCCGCTCCGGTCCGCCTCTCTGTCTGCGTCTCGTTCTCTTCAGTTATTGGGCAATGCCGCCGTCCATCAAGGGCCCACCTCCAAAGGTAAACCAATCAGAGTTTGCAGGCGGTGCTTCCTTCTGGAGCTGAGTCTCTGTTAAACCAGACTTGGGGAGGTGAGGCTCGGGTGGCGGCAGCTGCAGCACTGTGCGCAGGCGCGGAACTGAAGGCCCGGCCGGGTGGTGGCGGCTCAAGCTGGTGACAAGAGAGCGAGGGGGCCGAGGGAGGGGAAGGAGGGATGGACTAGAGAGGTGGACACCTCCTCATATCGCTGGCAACTGGCCCTTTCCGGCCCGCGACACCGGCTCAGGTGATGGGGAGGGGAAGGAGGTGAGGTGAGGTGAGGGGGCGGGCCCGTGACTGGGAGGGACAAGTTGGGCGCACCGCCACGGTCACCCCACTCGCGCGCACGCGCCACGTGGGCCAGCAGAATTGCCAAGAGCCCTTGGCTGCGTACCCGGGCACCCGCACTAGCTGCTTTGGCCCATCGAACACCCTTACGAACTCCGCGTCATGACCGAATACCCTTATTTTAAAGGCTAGGAAGTTGAGGCTCAGAGACACCAATCTGGTATCTTGGGAGCATCGGAGCATCTAGGTGGGACGTGGCCGCGCCAAGGCTGGAGGGAGCTCGAGTTTGGTGGAATCGGGACCCGCGCACTTGTCCGTCAGGCTATGGTCAGAGATTTGAACTTGAGAGTATTTAGCTGCGCGAAATTGTTTGGATCCCGGCTGCGGCGGACAGCCTTGCGGTAGGCACTGCTGCCTGCGGTCTCTGCTGGGCGGGGAGGGTCCAGCGCTCTCGGTGCTCCCAGACCTAAAGCTCCTACCCCAGCTTCTGAGGGTTGGGCTGCCAGTGGTGGTGAAGGGGGCGGCCTTCAGTGATCCCGACAGGCAGAGCTGGGGAGGGCAGGATTCTTGAACGAAATCCGAAAACACGTGGGAAACGCTCCTCGTCTCCGGTCATCTGAGAAAAGCTCATTATAGTAGGGCAGCTTTTTTTGTCCAAGGAAAAATACCATCAGAAGCTGGTAAAGGTACTAGGAAACTGTTTCCATTATTCCCTTGGGGAGGCAGATGTGAGGTTTTTGGAAATCAGTTTGGCAAGATGAGCCTACACCCTTTGACCTACTGATTCCTGTTGGAGAAGTAGGATAAACCCTAAGTGGGGAAAAGGTAGCATAAGGCAATGCATTTTGGTGTTCCATGAGTAGAAAGTTAGTGGAAATGTCTGAATCCTCAGCAGTATAAAATAGTTTGAGTAAATTATGATTGTTTATGCTGAAGCATAAACATAGCTATTAAATGTAATATTGAACTCACTTTTTGGGAAAGCCAGATTCAAAGTTATGGCTATAATTACATGAAAATGTCTACAGAATGACTAGAAGAATCTACATCTGATGATAAAAATAGTAATGACCCCAGGGATCAGCAGTTAGCGTAATGGCTATGTCGCTGGACTCCCATGTAGTCTACTGCGGTTTGAGTCCCAGACCCGCTGGCTTAAACTCACGCTGGGCCCGTGTGAGTGCGTGCCCAAAATCCCAAGGGGAGAATAGAGGAGAAGGGATTGCCGGTGCGTGGCCATCCCCCTTGGGGGGTGATTTCTCCCTTTCTGTCTCTCTGTCCCTCTCTGTCTTTCCGGCGAGCGTACTTGCCCTATAGCAAAAACCTCTAAAAGAAATAATTTTTTAAATAAAGACACCCCCCCTTTTTATTTATTTATTTATTTTGAGCAGAAGGGTTATGCATCATTAAATCTTCACAAACCTATGAGACTTGTATTACTCCTTCCTATCAAATGACTAGGGAAGCCATGTGGCTAATGCTAGCTGGCTGGTGTCACATCGAGGGTGTTACTGGGCCTTTGAAAATGCCACAGTTAGCCAATAGTTGAGGACTTGTTGTGTACCAGGTATAGGGCTGGCACTGGAGAGCCACTGGTAAGGTGGCTGAATTCCCAGTTTCTGAATTTGGGGGATTCATAAACTAGTGAAAAAAGTAGATATTTAAATGAAGCTTACAGTCCACAGGGGAGAATATCAAGATGGGAGCCAAATACGAGGCTCTAGCAAGAGAAGATTTGAGAAGATGTGGAAAAAGAAGTGGGTTCCTAGGTCAGATGGTAGGAGGGAGTGAAGCACTCACTGGCTTTGTAAAAGCTCGTGTATAAAAGCCTGTTTTGCAAATTTTCTGAAAATGTGTTTATGTGTTAGAATGCAGAGTAGGGAGACTTACTTAGTATTTGGGTTGAGTCAATTATTTTTTAAAAGAATTATTCTATTTAACTTTATTTATTTATTTATTCATTCGTTCATTTCTATTTGACCAGAGAAGGACATAGAGAGAGAGAGTATGAGGAAGCAAGTCACCAGATCCAGGACTCGAACCACAGTCAGCCATGTGGGAGTCCAGCGCCCTTAACCACCACGCCACCTGCTGGCCCAAGTTTAGTCAATTCTTAAAATAGTTAACCTTTTAAATCAATTAATTTTTGTTCAAGATATTAGCAAATCAAATGTTTTTAAAAGTTAAGTTTTTAAGAACTTATTTGAAATTTTCACAAACTCTTTAACTTTCAGGTTTTAAAAAACTCTCCTTTTGCTAAAGGAACACCCTTGCTGCTATAGTTTCAGAATGTCAAGTACTGTGTCCTACTGGATCTTAAATTCTGCAAGAAACAGCATTGCCACATTACAAGGGGGCAAACGTTTATACTCAAGGTGTGTTTCAAATAGGAACAAGTCAAAATGGAGGCTCTTTTCCCAGACACCACCTACCCTAAAACACAGTTGCCCAAGTGGTGGTTTCACTCTCTGGAAAGCCTACAGACACACATCGACGGAGGAAGATGATTTCCACTTGCAGTTCAGCCCTGAGCAGGTAAATGAAGTGCTTCGAGCAGGTGAGTCAACCCACAAGATCCTTAACTTTGACAGTGGAGTCCCAAATTCAGTGTTGCGGTTTGAGAGCAACCAGTTGGCTGCCAATTCCCCAGTGGAGGACCGGCGAGGTGTAGCCTCCTGCCTGCAGACCAGTGGACTGATGTTTGGCATCTTCGATGGGCACGGCGGTCATGCATGTGCACAAGCAGTGAGTGAGAGGCTCTTCTACTATGTGGCAGTGTCCCTGATGTCCCACCAGACCCTGGAGCAGTTGGAGGGAGCCATGGAAAGCATGAAGCCCTTGCTGCCCATCCTGCAATGGCTCAAGCACCCAGGGGACAGTATCTACAAGGATGTCACATCTGTTCATTATGACCACCTCCGTGTCTATTGGCAGGAACTGCTGGACCTGCACATGGAAATGGGACTGAGCATCGAGGAAGCGTTAATGTACTCCTTCCAGAGACTGGATTCTGACATCTCATTGGAAATCCAGGCCCCCCTGGAAGATGAAGTGACAAGGAACCTGTCACTCCAGGTTGCATTCTCTGGGGCAACAGCTTGCATGGCCCATGTCGATGGAGTTCACTTACACGTAGCAAATGCTGGTGACTGCCGGGCCATCCTTGGTGTCCAGGAAGACAATGGCATGTGGTCTTGTCTGCCCCTCACCCGTGACCACAATGCCTGGAACCAGGCCGAGCTGTCCCGCCTAAAGAGGGAACACCCTGAGTCAGAGGACAGGACCATCATCATAGACGACAGGCTGCTGGGTGTCCTCATGCCCTGCAGGGCCTTCGGGGATGTTCAGCTGAAGTGGAGTAAGGAGCTACAACGCAGCATCCTAGAGAGGGGCTTTGATACCGAGGCCCTCAATATTTACCAGTTCACCCCTCCACACTACTATACTCCACCATACCTGACTGCCAAGCCTGAGGTCACATACCACAGGCTGAGGCCCCAGGATAAATTCCTTGTACTGGCCTCAGATGGTCTGTGGGACATGCTGGGCAATGAGGATGTGGTGAGGTTGGTGGTGGGGCATCTGGCTGAGGCAGGTCGGCACAAGCCAGACCTGGCCCCGAGACCTACCAACCTGGGGCTCATGCAGAGCCTGCTGCTCCAGAGGAAAGCCAACAGGCTGCATGAGGCCGACCAAAACGCAGCCACACGTCTGATTCGATATGCCATCGGGAGCAACGAATATGGGGAGATGGAGCCAGAGCGGCTGGCAGCGATGCTGACATTGCCAGAGGACTTGGCGAGAATGTACCGGGATGATATCACTGTCACCGTGGTGTATTTTAACTCAGACTCCATTGATGCCTATTACAGGGGGGGTTAGGAGTGTCCCATCCTAGTGCCAAAGTTAACATAAATGCTCTTTTAAATTATCTTCACTTACTTTTAAGCTATTTAAACCTTACTTTTAAAAGGACTGGCAGATGTATTGATAGTTTGCTAAGTAATTGACTAATGCAGCCTAAGTTTAAAAACAATAGCAGTGATTTCATGTCCTTGAGTGTTTTGATCAACTCTTCTATGTAGAGAAGGCAAAGCTTAAAGTTTGGTTTGAGCTCACGTAGCCTTTTATAAAAATGTGTTCAACTATGCCACCCTGAGCCTTTAAAGGATAGATTTCATCACGATTCTAAGAGTACAGAGCTCTGAAGATCTTGCTGCAAAATCTATACATTTGATAATTCTCCTGAATTCACAATGATGGACTTCCAGAGTATGGAGAGATTTTATTTGTTTTTGTGTCTTTTCATAAGTTACTAAAGTCTAGGTTTACAAAGCTCACTACAGGACGCTTTTCTATGCAATATCCTAACTTTTTGTGCGTATACTTGGAAGACATTTTGTAATACTACATTCTCGTTGTGTTTTTAGTTTTTTTTTTTTTTTAATGGAATCCTCAAACTTGCAAACAGGCCTATTGTAAGCATGCTTGAAATGACTTGTCTTGGTTTTCAGCTGAGGATGGGAGGGTTTTCACCTCTGGATCAGCTGAATTTATTTGGGCAGCTTTCGGTCCCCTCCACTGAGCCCCACCTCCTGAACCTTTGAGCCATACTAGGAGATGACTTATATCTAAGCCTTAACTTCTAGTCTTTCTGGAATGAGTAAAATTTCCTCCCTGGCTTAGCCTCTGGAGGGTTATTAATGGTATTTAACCTTTCTGATTATACCTCGCAAGCATTTCTGTTTATTCCACCTAACACAATCCTTCTACCTCCACTGCGACAAACCCCTCACCCTGCAATACACTGACTATGCAATACGCTGTCTTGAAAGAATCTCACACGTTCCCTCTTCAGACAGTTGCAGGAATGGAGAAAATGTGATTGCATAAGGTAGTTGGGGCAGGCATTTAGGCGGGACAGGCTTACTAAGTAGATCGCGGACTTGAGATTCAATCTGAATTTGGAGAGGTGAAAACACTAAGGTCTTAAGGAGAACGGTCACTAGCTAAGGCTCCCTGTCTGCATCCTGAGAAGGCAGTAGGGAGAAGGGAGGAGTGAGACTTACCGGATAGGATGCTTACCTCTAGACTGTGGGATACATCGCCTTTGCTACTCCTTAGGAATTAGAGCATATTTAATATGGGAGTGAGAGAAAAATGTGACTTGTAGTGGTTTCTGTAGGCTGCAGGGTCTTTGGATTTACTCAAATTAAACCATGGGGATAATTTTTGGAGATGAATTTCATTCTCCCGTGAGTCGCTGTGGCACTTAAACAACAGGAAATATGTCCCTAAGTGGAAACACAAATATAGTCCCACAAAACCAACGGTTTTATTTTCATGTACCACATCAGGAAGAATTCTGCCGTGTAATTGAGCTATATTTATTAGTTGATCCCTGTCCTCATTTCATCCCTTGATGCCACCCACTAAAAAAAATATCAACTAACCAGGTTTGGCTTCCTCATTTTTGTCCAGGTCCCACTGGATGTTTAGTCAAGTGTTGGGATGTGTACCTGCTAGCTAAGGGATATTTCTCTGTACATGCTGTGGAGCAACTTCTGATGTAGCTTCATCTAAAACATTCTCTTCTGAATGCTTAAGCTTGGTGCTTTCTCTTGAAACCATTAGTATTTTTTTTTTTTTGAGTTCTTAGATCTTAACTCAAAAATAAAATGTGAATCACTACCGTTCTGCTAGCACGAAGATTTGTTGCTTGAACTGAGGACTCCACTTGTCTCACATTCCCTTTGTCCTTTGTTGTTGTCATTGTTTTGTTGTTGTTAAGTTTATTTTCTCTCTTTTCAGAGAGAGAGAGAGAGGCTTCCTTGACAAGGTCGGCAGTCCCTTTCCCCAGCCCCTTCAGGTCAACTCAGGATCTGAATCTGTAGCTGACCACGTGGCTCCCAGCAGCCGGGTTAATAGTGTACTTGTTGGCTTGTGCCGCCAACTGAGCCTGTCTGGTTCTTTATACCAACAGAACCCTGGAGTGCCCTTGGAGTCTAGCACGGTTCATAAATGGATCTGCTCCAATAACTTGTGGAGCAGCTGAGTGAACACAGACCTCCCACCAGTGTCTCCAGGAGGATCTGCTTTTTCTCAGTTTATTACATTTCCCTGTCTTCTAGTTGATCTATTGAGAGAAGAAAGGCTGGCTCGTTGTCTGCCTTTTTCCCACTGCAGACGGTCAACTCTTCCCTGTAAGTGCTCCAGGGAGCATCTCCTTCTGGTTGAACCACACCACATTGGTCTCTCTGTTGTATTTTTGCTGTCATTGACCTTCCCGAAGCACACAGGCTGCTTTCTGCTTTAGGACACTGGGATTTGAAAGGAGGTTAGTGGTACTTGCCAGGTCTTCCAGAGCATCTATCATTCCCTTTACATGAAGGTCTCAGTATGGAGACTTGTAAAATGAGTTAAAACACGAAAGATTGCGTGTTTAATATTTGGAGGTAATTTTTGAAGAAAGTATGCTTTGGTGCTTAAAACTGCATATTTATCATTTTAGGGAAGAAACTGATCATATTGGCATAATCTAGTTAGCTGTTTTCTATGTAAATAACACAGCCATTGATCCTGGTGACTGACCAAAATGGCTAGAGAGAATAGTCTTAGTTCTAAATTTAAATGATGTATAATAGTATAAATCGAGTTATTTAGAGTCATCCGTCTGAGATGTGATTTGTAACATTAAAACTAATTTATTGTAATGAAAATGTAAACATTGACATATATTAATATATAAACCTATTTTTCCCAGAAGTACATTTGGCCCAAAACACCTCTAGTATTGGGCACCCTGGGTAAAGTTCATTTTAGACACAATCAAGTCGATACTTTTAAGCAAAAGTAAAATGTAAGCAATTCAAACTTGAGTTAAAAAGGAGTATAGATAATTGTATAGAACCAAAACCAAAAACTGAGTTTAGTTCGAGTCTCACTGGAATTTGTTGACCTTATCTTTGACAGCTTTTGGGAAGCCTTAACTTCCCAAGTTAAACCAGGATGTCCTGGAACTGAGCCATCCCGGGTTTCATCTTAAAGTGATTCCTTTGTCTCTGAAATGTGATTCCGTGGCAGGAAAAGCCCTGACGTACTCTCGTAGTGGGGAGATAAAGGCTGGTGGGACATCTTGTGACGTACCCACCATGCATCATGTGAGTGGAAAGTGAGTTTGGACTCTGTGAAACCATCTTCTGAGCAGACCAAAAAAATTTCCCTTACTCCTTGGGCACCTGACATTCAACTTGCCTCCTGGAAAGTATTTCTTATCAAGCATTTACTTGGAACAATTATTAACCATGTTCTTTAATCATTACTGACATTTGTATTTTAAGCTGTCTACCAGTGTTTGTATTTGCCACTGATTTTCTAACTGTTAGAGATATTTAAGAAAAACTTGTAAATAAAAGAGGCAAAATGAAATTGGTTTCTTTTGAATACTTTTTTTTTTTTTTAGTATTCTCAGTATCCTTAGGACACTAGATTACGTTAACCTTTGTTTCACCACCATTATCTAGCCATAGAAGTTTTAAGCTATTTAAGAGTCCATTCAAAAGAGAAGTATGGTGTTTTGTATACCTGCGGTGGCTGCTGACCATACAGGAAGTCCTCATTTAGTGTTAACCATGTATGGGGACCTAAAAAGAAGGAAAAGGAAGTGAAGGCTTTTGTCGTGTGGGTCTCCACACACTCAGTGCCAAAGCTTGCTGGGATTTCCTTGTATTTAACTGAAGTTCTGTGTTTTTGTTTGTTTGTTTGTTTGTTTAGTTTTGCTATAGGATGCATGCTGTTCGACAGACGGGAAGGAGAGAACTGAAGAAATCAACCCCTGGGGGGATGGCCATGCCACAGTCCTTTCTCCTCTATCCTCCTCTTGGGATTTTGGGCACACATGCACACAGGCCCAGTATGTTTTTCAAGATGCTGGGTCCAGGATTTGAACCATTTGAAGTTGGCCATGTGGGATCCAGCCACCTTAACCACCACACCACTTACTGGCCCTTAACTGAGGTTTTAAAACGCACTATAGGGGGGACCAGCAGTAGCCCTAATGGCTATGTCACTGTACTCCCATGTAGTCGACCATGGTTCGAGTCCTAGATCCTGTGGCTTAAACTGACGGCTGGATGCATGTGCGTGCATGCCCAAGATCTTGAGAGGAGAATGGAGGAGAAGGGATTGCCGCATGGCCATCCTCCCAGGAGGTGATTTCTCGCTTTCTGTCTCTCTCTCTCTCTGTTTTTCTGGCAAGCGCACACACCCTATAGCAAAAATAAACCTCTCCAAAAAATTGCACTGTAGGGGCTGGTATGTGTTGTGGTGATTAAGATACTGGACTCCCTCATAGCCGACTGTGGTTTGAGTCCTGGACCTGGCGGCTTGCTTTCTCTCTGTCTCTTCAAATTGAATAATAATAAATTAATTAAATTAATTAATTATTTTTTAAAAAATGAAGTGGGCCAGCAGATGGCATGGTGATTAAGGTGCTGGAATGCCTTATGATGGACCATGGTTCAAGTCCTGTACCTTGAGGCTTGCTTTCTCACTCTCTCTCTCTGGTCAAATTGACAATAATAATACATTAAATTAGATAAATAATTATTTTAAAAATTAACTGAAAAACTAGCTACTGGATTAATATTAAGTGCAGAGCCAGTTTTGGGGGAAAGATCTAGGCAACTACTACATCTCATCCCTACTGACTGAACTGTATCTCGTTACATCAGGAGTGATATATTGGGTTGTCGGAAAACTCGTGATGTGTTTTTCTGTGCAAAAATGCATCATGACTTTTCTGGTAACCCAGTAATATTAAGCCACTAATGCTTTAATGTGAGTTGGGGTGATTAAGCTGGGCCTTGGGGAGAGGAAGGTGGAAAGGGGAATGTCTGGGGTCTGCTAAGAATAACAGGAGGAGGGGCCAGATGGTGGTGCAGTAGTAAACCACAACACTGAGGAAATCCCACATGGGAAGGTTTCTGGATCAAGTCCCAAGACCTTCCTAAGTATACTGGGCATACCCCTACTGGGGTGCTGTCTCTCTCTTCTCCCTCTCTGTCTCTCTTGCTCAAGGAAGAAATAAATGAAAATAACAGGAAGGAGGTATTATCCACCTTTCTAACATGATAGAACTGAGACCCAGTTGTTGAAAAACACCCATGACAACATGGTGGGGCCAGGATTTGAAGCAAATCCCAAATGTCATCCCAATACTGGGCTTTCAGAAAGGGGTAATAATGCATGAAGGGGGACCACCAGATGGCATAATGGTTACATCACTGGACTCCCATGTAGTTGACCATGGTACAAGTCCTAGACCCAGCGACTTGAAACTCATGCCAGGCACGTGTGCGTGTGTGCCCAAGATCCTGAGAGAAGAGTTGAGAAGGGATTGTGGCATGGTCATCCCCCTGGGGGGTGATTTCTCACTTTCTAAAAAATAAATAAATAAATGCATGAAAGAACTCTTTGTGCATAGTTTTGACTCAGGGCACATGGGGTTAGGGAGGAGAGGTTGGTGGTGCTGGAAGAAGGAGGTTTTTCTTGGTCTTTGCTAAGAATGAAATAGAATGCTACTAAATCTTGCAACATTGCTTTAGCTATTATGAGTCAAACTACATATACTTAACTTACACATTCTACTATCCCATTATTCTGGACATGATAAAAATGGAGGAAACACAGGGATAATTAATTTTCTTAAAGTGAGCTATTTGGGCTTTTTAACCAGAGGGAAATGATTACATTTATAGATTTAATTTTCACTTCTAGAAATTTTCTTTGAGAGATTTTTGCTATAGGGCACATGTGCTTGCCAGGCTTGCTTTCTCACTCTCTCTCTCTGGTCAAATTGACAATAATAATACATTAAATTAGATAAATAATTATTTTAAAAATTAACTGAAAAACTAGCTACTGGATTAATATTAAGTGCAGAGCCAGTTTTGGGGGAAAGATCTAGGCAACTACTACATCTCATCCCTACTGACTGAACTGTATCTCGTTACATCAGGAGTGATATATTGGGTTGTCGGAAAACTCGTGATGTGTTTTTCTGTGCAAAAATGCATCATGACTTTTCTGGTAACCCAGTAATATTAAGCCACTAATGCTTTAATGTGAGTTGGGGTGATTAAGCTGGGCCTTGGGGAGAGGAAGGTGGAAAGGGGAATGTCTGGGGTCTGCTAAGAATAACAGGAGGAGGGGCCAGATGGTGGTGCAGTAGTAAACCACAACACTGAGGAAATCCCACATGGGAAGGTTTCTGGATCAAGTCCCAAGACCTTCCTAAGTATACTGGGCATACCCCTACTGGGGTGCTGTCTCTCTCTTCTCCCTCTCTGTCTCTCTTGCTCAAGGAAGAAATAAATGAAAATAACAGGAAGGAGGTATTATCCACCTTTCTAACATGATAGAACTGAGACCCAGTTGTTGAAAAACACCCATGACAACATGGTGGGGCCAGGATTTGAAGCAAATCCCAAATGTCATCCCAATACTGGGCTTTCAGAAAGGGGTAATAATGCATGAAGGGGGACCACCAGATGGCATAATGGTTACATCACTGGACTCCCATGTAGTTGACCATGGTACAAGTCCTAGACCCAGCGACTTGAAACTCATGCCAGGCACGTGTGCGTGTGTGCCCAAGATCCTGAGAGAAGAGTTGAGAAGGGATTGTGGCATGGTCATCCCCCTGGGGGGTGATTTCTCACTTTCTAAAAAATAAATAAATAAATGCATGAAAGAACTCTTTGTGCATAGTTTTGACTCAGGGCACATGGGGTTAGGGAGGAGAGGTTGGTGGTGCTGGAAGAAGGAGGTTTTTCTTGGTCTTTGCTAAGAATGAAATAGAATGCTACTAAATCTTGCAACATTGCTTTAGCTATTATGAGTCAAACTACATATACTTAACTTACACATTCTACTATCCCATTATTCTGGACATGATAAAAATGGAGGAAACACAGGGATAATTAATTTTCTTAAAGTGAGCTATTTGGGCTTTTTAACCAGAGGGAAATGATTACATTTATAGATTTAATTTTCACTTCTAGAAATTTTCTTTGAGAGATTTTTGCTATAGGGCACATGTGCTTGCCAGAGAGAGAGAGAGAAAGAGAAAGGGAGAAATCATCCCCCAGGGGGATGGCTCCGCCGCAATCCTTCCTGCTCCATTCTCCTCTTGGGATATGGGCATGCATGCACATGGCTGGTGTGAGTTTTAAGCCACCGGGTCCAGGACTTAAACCACAGTCCAGCATGGGAGTCCAGCACTGTAACTGCTATGCCGTCTGCTGGTTCCCACTTCTGGAATTTTTGTTTCCATTTTACTCAATGCTACTAAATGCCCTTAAAAGGTCGCCAACCTAGTGACCCTTAAAATTGTGGATGACCAGCATGCCAAGAGGCCCTCTCCAGGGCGAGTAAAACTTTGCTGACTTCTGTGCGTCCCAGTGTGTTTGTGCTATTGGCCCCTGAGCTTTTTATTTATCAGCAGTCATGTTTTGGTCTGAGAAATCACCTGGCTGGGAGGACAAAGTGGGCATGAGAAGGCCAGGGCTCCATTT